CCGCCCACGTGCCCCTGCTCACGCGTAGGCCTCGAAGTCCCCGTTGTTCACGGCCTCGATCAGCTGCTCCGTGATCTTGATGATCTCCTGCTTGCGGGCTGAGGGGTCACCGTGTCACACCGTGTCACAACATGTCACCACCTCACACCATGGCACACTGTGTCACACTGTGTCCCCAGCCCCATCCCTGTGCCAGACCCTGGGATGGGGGAGCTGGGAGGGGATGGCCAGGCCATGGGGATGGGACTGGGGATGTGGGGATGTACACAGGAACATGGGACAGGGAGAAAGGACATGGGCAGGGTGCGTAGGGACATTGGGACAGACCATGGGGACAGAAGGTCCAATGGGACCCAGGAACCTCTGCACACCCAGTGCCTGACATCTCTGCCACACCAGCAAAGCCTGGGGTCCAGCACCCAGTATATCCCAGTGCCCTCCAGGTGCCATCTCAGCATGTCCAAATTCATCTCAGCACCATCTCAGTGTGTTAGAATAGATCTCAGTGTCATGCAAATACACTGCAACACATTCCTCTGAAATCCTCTCGCATCCCAGTGTGTGCCAGTGCATCCCAGTGCTGCTCCAGTACACTCCAGTGCTACCCTCTTGCACCACAGTGCAACCCAGTTCCATTCCAATGCATTCCAATACACCCAGTTCCATCCCAGTGCAATCCTACTGCATTCCATTGACACACCAGTACATTCCAGTGCCAGTCCAGTGCAATCCAGTTCATCCCAGTTCTATCCTAGCATGTCCCAGTGTCATCCCACTGCAACTCAGTCCCAATCTGGTGTGTCCCAGTGTCATTCCAGTCCATCCCAATGGATCCCAGTGCCACTCCACTGCATGCTGGTGCATCCCAATGCCATCTCAAATGCATCCCAGTCAGCCCCAGTGCCATCTCAGTATATCCCAGTGCATCCCAATGCCACCCCAGTCCATCCCAGTGCATCCTAAAGGACTTCAGTGCCATCCCAGTGAATCCCAGTGTGTCCCCATGCCATTGCAGTGCATCCCAATCCATCCCAGGTCACTCCAATGCATTTCAGTGCCATCTCAGCACATTCCAGTACTCTACTAGTGCATCCCACAGTACATCCCAGCTCCATCCTAGCATCCTCCAAGTGCACCTCAGTGCATCCCAGTGCACCTCAATACATCCCGGCACCCTCCCAGTGCATCCCAGTGCACCCCAGCTCCACCATGCCCCCCATCACCTTTGGTGTCCTCATCCTCGATGGTGGTGTTGGTGCTATCGGATGACTCCTGCCAGCAGGATGTGGGGAGGGAAAGACACAGGCAGAGGG